TAATCGTACTTACTAAATCATTTAATTTTAATACCAAATGTTTTTCAAATAATTAATTTCTTATTTAAATTAATGTTCAACATTGGTAGATGGGATGAATTTAATGAATTCAATGAATTTTCTAAATTCTTCAAGCTTAATTTGTATAATTAAATTAACACAATATGATTTTGATGCATAATTAAAATTTTTTAATTATATATTAAATTTTACTTTTCAGTGCAATTATTGGTATTGTGAGGATGTGGCTTAATGTGGTGGCTTTATATATATATGTGTGTGTGTGTGTGTGTGTGTGTGTGTGTGTATATACATATATATATATATAGATATAAGGTATGTATAATTAAATCAGGAGCAAAATATAAAAAGTGAGATTTGAAAACTGAGAGTGAATCTTTTGAGAATTAATTATAAGTAACATATAACTTTAGTTGTATAAATAATGATTATCTTAAATTGATCAGAAAATTACTTTGTCTATATTGATGACTTCTTGCCCTCTAAAGTTAGATGCATGAATCTATTCGTCATCTCAGTCACCGCTTAGAAGATATGTATATATATATATATATATGTGTGTGTGATACTTTGGCTGTATTACAAATATTGACAAAGAAATTTACTTTTCTATATTGATGATAACTACTGATTGTCATGTTTAAAGAAAATCTATCTCATTTTGGGGTCTCTTATGTCTTTTTCCTCCAATATATTTAATAGCAAATTCAGCATATATATATAGATGTATAATGCATGTGTATATACACACACAAACTTGAACATTGTGATAACTACAAGCATCTGCCTCCTTGAGTTTCAATATAGAGAATATGGCCTCAAGAACACCATTCTTGGATCAGTTATGGCAACAATTGCATAGAGAAGATGTTTGTTTCTCTTTGATTTTCTTGTTTCTTGCAATATATTTGTTTAAACTCATGAATTCTAGACGTATCAGACTCAATTTACCTCCATCTCCGCCAAGATTTCCTATCATCGGCAATTTTTGCCAGATAGGGTCACTTCCCCACCATTCCATCAAAGCTATATCTGAAAAGTATGGTCCCCTAATGCTGCTCCACTTTGGCTCTACGCCAACTCTTGTTGTATCATCAGCGGACATGGCCCGAGAAATGTTTACCACCCATGATATCGTTTTCTCAAACCGACCTAGAACTTTGGCGGCAAATATTTTATCATATGGATGTACAGACGTAGGGTTTTCTCCTTATGGTGACTACTGGAGGCAAGCTAGGAAAATTTGCGTCGTGGAGTTGTTGAGCCTCAATCGTGTGAATTCTTTTCAGCTCGTGCGGGATGAAGAGGTTACAGAAGCAATTGAAAGCATACGACGTACCAGTCTCTCTGGAAGCTTAGTCAATCTAAGCAAGCTGCTGAGTGTTCTTTCTGCTAATATAGTATCTAGATGTGTTATTGGAAGGAAAGTTAATGAGGTTGGAGAAAATACCAAGTTGGGAAAGTTGGCGAATAAGATGACCAAGGAAATTAATGAGTTTGGTTTCAGTGATAGGTTTCCTTATTTTTATTTGGGATACTTGATCGATATTTTAACTGGTTTTGTTGCACGTCTGAAAGAAACTTCAAAAGAATTTGATGTTTTTTTAGATCAAGTGATCGATGAACATATGACTTTGGGAAATAGTAATGATGAAAAACTAGTTGATAATCACAAAAAGAATTTTTTGCATATACTGCTTCAACTTCAACAAAGTAACTCACTTGACTTTGAATTCACACGGGATAATATGAAAGCAATTTTACTGGTTATTCTCTATACTTTCCTCTTATTATTAGTACATTTTTTTTGTGGTTATTTATAAACTTTCATCTTTTTTTCCAGGACATGTTTGTTGCAGGGATTGACACAACTTCGACAACACTTGAATGGACGATGGCGGAGTTAATGAGAAACCAAAATATACTAAAAAAAGCCCAAGATGAGGTACGAAGTGTGGTGGGGAAGAAATCAAAGGTAGAAGGTAATGACGTAAATATGATGAACTACTTGAAATGCACAATTAAAGAGAGTTTAAGATTGCATCCTCCTGCTCCTCTCTTGGTTCCTCGAGAAACATCTAAAGCTATCAATTTGGGTGGCTATGATATTCCTCCCAAAACAAGTGTGATTATCAACGCAATAAAAATTCAAAAAGATCCCAATATATGGGATAGGCCAGAAGAGTTCATGCCAGAGAGGTTTGAAGAGAATCTGGTGGATTACAGAATCCAAGACTTCCAATTCATTGCATTTGGTGGAGGAAGAAGACAATGTCCTGGATTGAGATTTGGGGTTACTTCAATTGAATATATATTAGCAAGTCTTTTATACTGGTTTGATTGGAGAATGCTAGAAGGTAAAAGGGGAGAGGATTTGGACATGACTGAAACTAATGGGTTAACTGTTCATAAGAAAATTCCTCTTCACCTTGTAGCAATACCCTACTCCCCTTGATGTATGTAACCTTGTGTTAATTATTCTGTAAACATCACTTTTCTTCTTCCGTATGTAAAAAAGGGAATAAGTAAGTAATCAAAATTTGAGAGGTTTTGAAGTGTTTCTTTTGGCGTTAAACTTATATTTGTGAAGATATCTATAAAAAGTATATAACTAATGACCATTTGTACTGACGATTATGATGATTATTATTATTATATTACCGTTATTGTTATTATTATTTTATTACTATTATTGTTAACAATTAGTAATAAATGGATTAATTTTGTTTGTAAAATACAAGCCATTCTATATTATTATCATTTGAATCAATATTAATTTTATATCTAAATCAACTTTTTGCCCTTCACTAAAGCCATACATACATATCATTTGATTAATTAATGTTATATTTCTAACCAAATCAACATCATCATCATTTTTTTGACTTATTTGTTAAAACAATGCATTTCAAGCAAAAAAGAAATACCTTTAATAATTAATTTTGACTCTAAAAGGAACCTTATCATATCCAAAATTTCCAACTTCTATTGTTATTCTCATTATTTTGATTATTTACCTTGCGAGTAAAATATTTGCCCATATCCAAAACAATTAAGTATTTTATTCCCAAATCCCCATGCTCAATTTCTAATAACTCTAGCATCTAGATATATGTATGTGGAAGCCTATAAATACTGTGAGAAGCCACTTCATGCATCACCAACCACTAAGCAAAAGCAATGGCAATCACCTTCTTTGCTCCATTGATCTATGTTCTTGTTTTGCAATCTTCCTTCTTAAAAATCAACTCAAGCCCATACGGCTCGAATGTGCCAAAAGGTGATAAGAATTTGTTAGAGTTACCATTGAATCTAGAGTATTAAGAGGCTAAGTTTTTCTCGTATGGCTCATTAGGGTATGGGTTGGAGAAGGTTGCTCCTAAGTTGATCGTGGGAGTCCCTGCTCCTATTGGTGCCAAGAAGGCCAATCTTGATCCCATCACAAAAGATATTATAGAGCAATTTGCATAACAGGAAGTTGGACACCTAAGGGGTTGTATTCACATCTCTTAGTCTTGCACTTCTTTTAATTATTTTGTGTTGAATTCATCTTGTTCGAGTTTTGTTCCATTTTATTAACTTCTTCGATTATTTTAATATGTAGGGCAATTAAGTCGACTGTCAAAGAATTTCTTAAGTGAAAATTAGATTTGAGTGTAAAGTCATTTGCCAAGGTGATTAATAATGCATTTGGGAAGAACTTACAGCCTCCTTTTGACCCCTATGCCAATAACGTCAATTACTTTATTGCCTATGTAATTCCTTATGTTGGACTTATCCAGTATGTGGGAGCAAGTCCTAGACTCGAAGGTGCTACCTCAAAAAGGGTAAGTCTCTAATATAGAACAAAGGAAGAAAGTAGTAACATTCATAATTTATAAATATTTTGGTCAAATTATTCTATAATTTTTTCTTTTCCTTGTAAAATAAGTATGTATCCTATAGATAATTATTGGTTGCATACAGCTTGTTGCTGGGCTTTTAGGCGTGGAGTATGACCAAGATGCTATAATAAAAGAGCTTTTATACGAGAGGTCAAATTTGATAATGAAGTCTTATGGGATAATAGTTGCAGAGTTCACCAATCGAATCTCTAATCTAAGGAACAAGCTTGGTAAAGCAGGGTTGAAAAATGAAGGCTTTGTGGTTCCTAAAGACCTGGGTGCTGAGGGTAAAATCAAGGAAATTCGCTTGCTGCCGACAAATATTTAGTTGTCTATGATAAGACGTTTAAAGAAATTCTTAAAATTGTTTATGGAAGGGGTAATGAAGCCACACCTGGTGGTTCCTATCTAAAGGGAGCTAACGGTGCCATTGTTAAATCTTATTTATACACTGCAAATCACTAAAAATGTAAAACCTGGTAGCTTTATATCATCACCATCCATTAAATAATTATCTTTTGTGCATAATGTTGTTTTCGGTTGTGATAACACTAAATTGAACCTATAATTGTGATGTTTTGTCTCCTCTATGTATCTTGCCTTTTGGACTATAAATCCTTATTCAACCATATAGCAATAAATATTACCAATTCTTTTCTTGTATGATGCTGACTGAACAGGTATTTTTTAATTATAGACTCTTATCACAGAGAGATCGATCTATAGATGTACAACTTGCTATGTAAATAGATTGAAATAATCAATAAACTTAAAAATATGCATAAATACATAAGAATATCAGATTTGCAACTCAAATCACTCAATCTGCCATTAACATTTTCTAATTTCATATATTATCAGTAAAGAAAACCATTCAAGATTATTAAATCAATTGAGAATATTATGTTACTAATTAGCTTTTCTATAAAAAATAAAATTTTATTGAACTAGTAGAAAGAACATACAAACAATTGAAAATTGTGTAACACTCGAAAATTTTCTTTTTTTGTAATTTAAGATTTTATTTTAAATGTAATAAAATAATTTTTTGAATTTTTAATTTTTATTTTAATTTAGAATAAAAAATAAAATAAAATTAATAGAGGATTTAATTAAAAATAATTTTTTTAAAAAGTAAAAATTTAAATTATGAGAATATTTTTAAAAGAAAAATAAAAAAAAAAGCTAAAACGCAATTTTAGACCACCGTATTTATGCGAATAATAACAAAATTTTCTCGCTGCCGAAGAAGTTGACTAACATAGAGCGAGTATATTTCCACAACAAGCTTTTAGTTTCCTCGCTCCAAGCTGCTTAAATCTTCTAGATTAACTATGCTAAAATTAGAAAAAATTTAAAAAAAATTAATTAACTTTCGAATCAAATCTAAATTCGAAGAGTAGCCTTAGTTCAATCCTTTAAGAATTAAAAAAAAAAATAGAAAGATTCATAGTATTCGAACTTTTGATCAATCCTTTTAAATCGTCGTAAAATAAATATTAATAATTAGTGAGAGATAAATTAAAACGATAAATAATTAATGCTTACAGATTTTGAGAAAACGAACAAGATTCATGATTCTGCAGAATCAGATTACTTACCTTTGAAAATATTTTCAAGAAGTGAAATTCACAGGAATATAAACTTTCCCGAGCTGCACCAAGCAAGCTCCATCCACCCATGAGTATGCATGCAGCATGCTTGAGATGGTTTGAAGAATGGTTACTGTGTTTTGGTAATATATACACTGTAGCACCCGGAAAGGAGGAGGAAAAAAAAAAAAGGGGGTCACGTCAGCAGGCCAGGTCAGCAGTCCCGGCCAACCGGGGCCTGCCACGTGGCAAGACCGCGTCACTTCGAAAGGAGCCACGTTGGCGATCCGCGTGGGTGCGATCCGACGGTCCAGATCAATCGCGCGATCGGACGGCCCAGATTCAATCGCACGGACGGCCCAGATTCAATCAAAAAAACGAACGTCCCAGATTAAAACGAAATGGACGGCTGAGATCAAAAGGCAAGGGGTTATAAATAGAACCCCCACACCAGACCACAAACCCTAGCCGCCCGCCGCTCGCCGGAGAAGACGAACCAGAGGCCGACCGCCGCCACCCGCCGCCGCACCGGGGAAATTTTCGACCGCCGATCGAGGTAAATTTCATATCCCCGACTCGTTTTTTCACGCTGATTCCTCCTATGGCCAAATCGAGGCCGAAATCCCGGCCAAACGGCCGGAATACGCGGCCCAAGCCCAGCGGCGCCGCCGCGCCCCCTCTCGATTTTTGCCTCCGACGAGGCCCTTCCCGGCCTCCGTTCGATGCAATTTTTATATCACCGTGATCACCATTCTTTTCTCTACAGGTTGACCGGAGCCGAATCACCAAAACATGAACCTTGCCGGAGAGTCGCCGTACCCGAGAGCGCCGCCGCCGGTAAGCTCCGTTTTTCCGTAATTTTTTGGCCCCCCGAGGGCCCTAGGGTTGTTTTCTCACAAGGACCGATGCGAGTGTGGCCGAATTCGGCCGAAAACGGCCGAAAACAGCCAACCCGAGGCGACTCGCGGCCGCCAGCGGCGGCGCCGTCGCCGGAGCACGGCGGAGCCGCCGTGCTGGAGTTGCGATTTGGGCCGAAAGAGGCCCTGGGCCTAATTTGGATTTTTTTTGGAACACGTGCAGGTACTGTTAGTGTGTTTCAGTTCCCCGGGAAAAATTCAGAGAAAATTAGGGACGGCCTGCAGGCGCACTGTGAATCGTATTCGGATCCCAAAAACAAGTAAGGACCCCTCACCCTATTTCCTATCACGGTATTAAAGTTCAAAATGATAAAACGGTATTTCTTGAATTAACGAATGTGTGAAATTGTTTAAGGTGGCTAATGGAGCCCGAGTCTAGTGTGATTGGTGATTTACTGTTATTTGGCCTGTTTACAGCTTTAAATGCAAAATGAGGTTTGATGTGTTCATTTTACAGATTTGTGTGCATGCACTACGTTTTTATTAATTATGGGTTGAATGACTGAAAAACTGATACTGTATGTTGTCTGTTTGGTATGAATTACGATTTGCTTGTTTGTATATGAATTGATGATGCTGACTGAGGAAAAGGAAAATGAAAGATTGTGTAAACTGATAATTGTATTATGGGGGTCAGCCTGACTAGATATCCTGGGAGATGGTGGACGGACCGGGTCCGTAGGGAACCCTACCGGGATGTGGTCTCACATGCCGGACGGGGTATGGAGATCTTATGGTTTTGGCGCCCATACCGGACGGGGTATGGGGACGGCCCGTTTCACCCTCATACCGGACGGGGTATTGAGGTTTATGATTTTGGCGCCCATACCGGACGGGGTATGGGGACGGCCCGTTTCACCCTCATACCGGACGGGGTATTGAGGTTCATGGTTTTGGCGCCCATACCGGACGGGGTATGGGGACGGCCCTGGAAACTGATTATGAATGTTAAAGGTTAACGGGTAGCGGAACCCCTATGGACCCCCACGGATACTAGTAGGCTGGTAAATGAGAAAAAGATATGTTGTACAATGATTGAAATTTCAAGGGGCGTGATAAGTGTTATGTTTTACAGCTTATATTATTCAATGATTATGATA